CTAGCCTGGGCTACTTAACTAGATCCTGCCTTATAAATGAAACCATAACTGGATGGTATGGCAGTACATGTTTATAACTGCGTCTCATCCCAGCATCAGGGAGGTGACATAGAGAGATCCTGCTTCTTAAAATACCCAAAAGAGCCAGCTGGTGGTGTCACATGCTTTTAATCCCACACCATTAATTTCAGTGTATGAGTGTTTGCCTGAATGTATGTATGCACACCATGTGTGTGCAGTGCCAAGAGAGACCACAAGAGGGCATCAGATCACCTGAAATTGGAATTAGAAGATGGCTGTGAGCCACCAAGTGGGTGCTGGGAACTGGACCCAGCTATAAGAGTAGCAAGTGCTTTTAATTGCTGAACCATCTCTCTAACCCCTAAATGAAACATTTTAAATAAATAAATAAACCAACCAACCTAGTTTTGGTGTAGAGAAAGACAAATGGATTTTTTTTTCTTTTTACTTTCTTAATCAAAAATTACTTTGTGGGATGTTAAAAACTGTCAACTGAAGAAACTGTCTAAGGATGAAAAATGCCATAAATTTTACTTATTTTAGAGACTGAGTCTCACTATGTAGCCTCTGTTGGCCTAGAGGTCACTATGTAGACCAAGTTTGGCCCCCAACTCTCAGAGATCCTCTGCTTCACGATGGCTAGTATTAAAGGCATACATGCCCAGTCGTCCCCCTCCAAGGCATAGTTTTTAAAAGGCAACCATGTGACACTAATAAAATGCTGTCTACAAATAAAAAACATTTAAAGAGAGAGAAGGAAATTTAGTATTATTAAACCGTAGCATGTTATTTATCTCATGTAACCATTCTAAAATATTAAAACATCAATTCTTTGACTGTTGAAAAGCATAGATTAGAAAACTCTTAGTGACGGCTTCTATTGCTGTGATAAAACACCATGACCAAAAGCAAGTTGAGGGGGAAAAGGGTTCATTTGGCTTACACTTCTATGTCATATAGTACATGATTGAAGAAAGTCAGGACAGGAACACAAATAGGGCAGGAACCTGGCGGCAGGAGTTGGTGCAGAGGCCAGGGAGAAGAGCTGCTTGCTGGCTTGATTTTCTCTGGTTTGCTCAGCCTGCTTTCTTACTCCACCCAGGACCACTAGCCCAGCAGTTGCACTACCCACAGTGGGCTGGGCTCTCCCACATCAATCATCAATCAAGAAAATGCACCAAAGGTTTGTCTACAGACCTATCTGTTGGGGGCATTTTTTCAATTGACACTCCCTCTTCCTAAATGACTCTAGCTTGTGTCAAGCTGACATAAAAATACCAGTACAGAAACTGAAGTTTATGAACAATTTAGTCCCTGACAAAGTCATGATTTAAAAAGTTGAACTCTCAATCAGCAAACTCACAGGCTCGTAACTCCAGTTTCAGGAATCTGAAGACATCCACATGCAAGGTGAACACTCACATAGACACATACACATAAATTAAAAAAGATAAGAGGCAAGATAAAACAAGGGTACCTGAGAACTTCGAGAAGTTTCGGACGGGCATAATGCGCTGGCGGCTCTTTCCCTCGGTTTCATTGTCATAAATTAAGACGATAGCTGGGGGCTGGAATCTAATTCCACATTTCTTGGCAACATATTTCATTTTGACACACAATTCAGTGCAAACTGGAGGAAATCTGAGAAAAACGGGATAGCTGTAGAACAAGTTTCAGAAAAAGAAAACCCAAATTGAGGTCGGTATTGCATAAATCTGCTTTCTCCTTCTCCTCAGCGAATCTGGCTGTAGTCTGAGCCCTGGAACTACACGCTCGGCTAACAAAGGTCAAGACTTTGAGGGCCACCTTGAAAGTTCCGCTGGCCGAGGCTAGCCTTGTTTGTTGGATCTCTGAGTCTCTGTTTGGTTGGGATGCAGGTCGTTTCCACATGAGCTGGTAATGCCCTTCGGTCTGGCCCCTTAGTGTACTGCATTCTTCCCAGAGGTTACACAGGAACCTCAAGCAAGCCCAACAACTGACCTGCTAGACCGCAGAAACATTTTGACTTTTCATTTAAAGGATGTCTGAATCACCCTCTATCAATATTATGGTCTTTTAAACTTTTTCCTTTTTTGAGTCAGATTCTCACATAGCCCAGACTGGCCTTGAACTTGTGATCCTCCTGTCTCTACTCCCCCAGTGTTAGAATTTCAGGCATGTGCCTTCAAACTTGGTCTATGAGGTGCTACAAATGGAACCCAGGGTTTCATGCATACCAGACAAGCACTCTGCCAGCTACACTACATCCCCAGCATGTTTTTCTTCTAAATAAACATTTTATACTGAGAGGCTCACTAGACCAGATCAACCCCATCCCATACTTTATGAACTCTTTTATTCATCAAGAGGTTATTTTAAGCAGTTGGGAGATGGTGGTGCACACCTTTAACCCCAGCACTCAGGAGGAAGAGGCAGGTGGATCTCTGTGAGTTCAAGCCCAGCCTGGTCTACAGAGTGAGTTCCAGGACAGCTAGGCCTGTCTGTTACACAGAGAAACCCTGTCTTGAAAAACCAAAAGAAAGAAAAGAAAAGGCTATTTTAAAAATCATTACTTACTATCTATCATCCCTGTTAGTCTACTTGCTCTAGGAAGGCAAGAAGTGTGTCCATTTTCATTAAACTCTTAGCACATATCTGGAACACAAGAAGGGTAATACTTATTTAATGCTATGCATTAATATAAGCGAAGGTTTCTATATATTATCCTGGGGCAGGGCCTGAGCGCTGTTACACATTGCGAAATAATATTAAGCACTGTTAACTGTTGCTTGGATTGTTAGCTTTGTGTGGCTTCTTTCTGTGAATGATTCAGACCATGTAGGGCAGAGAATTCACAGGTCCTCTCTTACACCTAGGGCCTGGAGCAGGGACCTGTCAGCAGCCTCTTCACTGGGCAGACCCAGCTTTCCTTTCTTCCTTCCTTCCTATTTCTCTGAGGATACCAGAGAACCACAGCGGAAGACAGCCATGGTGAGCACTCCAGTCAGCAGGCACAGGCTTTGGAAAGCGCACACTGGGCACAGCCTCACTGAGCATTAGCAACCCTGTGTTCACCCATGCCAGGGACAGTGGGGCAGTAATCCCGGGGCCTCAGCAGCAGCTCTGTGATGCAGGTCACGATATTCACTTGCATGAAGGGCTGTGTAAACATCCTCAGTTCAAGCATCCTTGCCTAGCACCCATCTGGCCGCTCACTTTTGGAGTCACCTGGGACGCACCCTCTTTGTTCTGCCCCAGGTGCTCCATGTTACACCATTAGGCTCATTCAAAGCCTTTTCAAATGGTCTTTTCTTTCCCGCTTTTGATCTTTAGGACTAGCAGACCAGACAGACTGAGCTCTCAACTCAAAGAAGACACGGTAAAACTGGCACACTGGTAGCAGCCTCCATCCTGCTAGCAGCAGTCACAGCCCCGCGAAGACAACTGAAGGTTCCAAGAGTAGGTACCTGTGGTGGTCTGAATAAAAATGGCCCCTATCGGGAGCGGCACTCTTAGAAAGTGTGGCCTTGATGGGGGAAATGTCACAGATCTCTTCCTCCTACCTGTAGATCAAGTTGTATAACTCTCAGCTCCTTCTCCAGCACCACGTCTGCCTGCCTGCCGCCATGTCCGACATGACGATAATGGACTAAACCTCTGAACTATAAGCCAGCCCTAATCAAATGTTTTCTTTATAAGAGTTGCTGTGGTCATGGTGTCTCTTCATAGCAATAGAAACCCTAAGAAAGCAACTGAAGCAGAAATAGTAGAGAAGTTATGAGGCCTAGGTGCTGAAGAGTTTCAGGGCGCTTCCAGGTCTTGAGAACTTAGGGCTCTCGTACCCTGGTCCAACAGCAATTGCAGGAATGGAGACGCTCAAGGCCCCAGGAGCTGTAACTTAGTTCTGTTGGAGAACAACCATAGGCACTTTGTTTAAGAAGCTGACAGTATTTATACTGGTTCATTATAGAAAAATAGGGACAAAAGAGAGGAAGAAAACATGAAATATTTACCTAGATTCTATCTTTATGTTTTATGTTTGCCAAGTAGACTTGCCATATAGGACCATAATCTGTAGTCTCACCTATGCTGTTAGAGTTGAGAATTTGTACTCCTCTGAGATTAGGCATAATAAAGAGCTGCTTTTTCAGACTGCTGTGCTCTGCCTTTGATCTGAGTCAGCAACTAGCACTACTCCCAGGTCACCTCATTAAAGTATGATGTTAGTGTTCTTCCTAAAAGGACTACTAAACACATTATAACAAACGACCACACTTGTCAATACAACTGACGATAATTTAGGGCGTTCACTATAGAGTTTTCCTTTTTGAGTTTATTTTTAGAGACAGAAGTTCTCTGAGTAGCCCTAGCTGTCCTGGCCTTGAACTCACAGAGATCCGCCTGCCTCTGCTTCCCAAGAGCTGGGACTAAAGGCGTCAGCCACCACACCTGGCTGTCCATATTTCTTAACTGCGGACTTCTAATGTTATATTACACCCTTTCCCATTCCGAGACCTCATAGCCTGGTCAGCACTAGAGCTCTCCGAAACTGCTAACACGGTCCCAGAGTTGGGAGGAGTGACAGCATGTTTCCCTAACTGCTCTTGGCCGCATGTGTACGTTTCTTCCCAGGGATCAACGACTTTTTCTCACAGCACCTAAGGGGGTACGGATTTCCTCCTGATGTCCTCACTAGTGCAAGGCGACCCTTCTTACCCTTGAAGAAGTACAGGAAGTGCACATCTGAACAGCAGTGAGAGGGTCGTTTCCATCCAGCCGCACTGCACAGAGGACTCATTATATCGACTTTGAGGTGGAGCGGAGCTTGGCGCTGCAAAAGAAGCGACAGCCATAACCTACAGGGGTAACCATGGGGTGAGCTCAGAGACAGGAGGCCTAGCCCGCACGCACCCGGCTGCGGAAAGGAAGCCGGCCAGAGCTCGGCGAGTGTGGTCCTGAGACAGTGCTCTGTCCTGACGCCGGTCGGGCGCCCCCTTAGGATGGTTTCCAAGGCAACAGCGCGGGCACACGGACAGCGCTTGCGCAGCTTCTCGCCCCGCCCCGGCTCGGACGGCAAGGGGCGGAGTCAAGTGCGGTCCTCTCAGGGACTTGGGGTTAATGGAATTCTGAGCTACCCAGTGGGAGCGCTCGGTGGGCTCAAGGACGTTCGCTCACGGAGCGCTCCGTCCCAGTCACTGGGGCTGGTGAGAGTGCAGCCTGCCTCCGCGACCGCAGCTCGTTCCGCGCGCCCCTGTCGGGCGTCGGCGCTCCGGCGTCCTGGCTGCCGACGCTGTGGCCTGGCTGCTCCTCTGGGCGGCTGGGCTGGTCAGCAGGCTCGCCGCGGACATCAGCGACGCCCCCTTCAGCTCTGGTAAGGGCCCGGGACTGAGGGAGTGCGCGCGGAGCGTGGGCGCGGGTGGGGAGCACCCGCGGTGTTACGGGTACCAGGGCCGGGAGGAGGTTAGCAACAAAGGCCGCGTGCGCCCCTGCCCTCCCTGTGATCTTTGCGCGGTGTTCCATCCCGGACATCGGAGTCGGGCTTTGTCCCGAGGCGGGACTGGCCACACTGTGGCAAAAGTACTAAGCAAGTCCAGCCACGAAGCGTCTTGGGATGCTTATGGTACACGAAGCTGCTTTCTGCTGGCTGAGAGGCCAGGGAACCCTTCGAGTCCCGGGACGTGTGAGAATGCCCAAACAGCGTGTAAAGGAGAAGGGGTGAGGTAGTGACGCGTGACAGGCTTCTCAGGGAGATGCAACACACACACACACACACACACACACACACACACACAGAGAGAGAGAGAGAGAGAGAGAGAGAGAGAGAGAGAGAGAGAGAGAGAGAGAGAGAGAGAGACCCACAGACAGAGAGGGCACTCACCCAGAAAGGTAACCTTTGTACCAGTATCCCAATTTGATGAACCAATGAATTTTTTTATTGGCGTTACCAGTGGAAATGTGGGCGAGGAGTTACAAGGAGCAGGGATAACGCAAAAGAAGCTGCTTCACTAGAAAGCCCACCCCAACGTGGGTGACACCCCCACCCTGAAACTGCAACCCTGGAGCTCACTAAGCCGCTTGCAGGCAGCTCCACAGCCCCAGCCTCTGGTTTTCCCCCATCTTTTTCTGCAGTTTGCCCCCAGCAACTCTTGACTCCCTTTCATAGGGTTGGTAGGGACCCTCAAGAATCTTCCCAGTCTTAACTTTCCTGGCTTCGCGTGCTTCTTCAAGTTCCTGCATAACAGGTTTATTACAGTGATTCACACGCCTTTAATGTCCTTCCTACACATTTCTACTCAAAGTTTTATAGCAAGGTATCTGGCAACCGAATATTTAATGTTTTTTTTCCTTTTTGTTTCTTTTATTATTATTATTTTTGACACAGTGTCTCACCAGTCTTGAATTTTTACCCATTGAGTAATACTTTTAATATCCAAACTATCAAACTATGCATGGAATCAGTTTATGAAGACTTCTGTTTACCCCGCGTTTGTAAATGAACTCTTTGAATCTTCAGGTGCCTCTCCTTTTCTTGCCTTTTTTTTCCCCCTTTAACTCTCCGAACATCTTCACAAAGCATGAGTGTACAATCTTCCAAGATATGTAGGTATGGACCAGGGAACACAGAGGTTGCTGTTATGTCTCTAATGAGGTTTGGTGAGCTAGGAGGATGGACAACCTCAGAGAAAAACTCTCACTCAAAGACACAGCTGTTAAGTGGTGGACTAGGATCTGAAACCAGACATTCTCAACCTCCATGATTTATATGTAATAGATTTGTGTGTAGCTCAAACTGCTTACATTTAAAATTTTTACCTTTCCATTAGACGATTAGATTTTTCTAACAAGTAAAGCTTTTTTCTAGTAGTTATTTTCTAATTATTTAATAGTTCTCTTAATATACTTATTTTCATTTTTAATGTCTTGATCTTTATAGGTACAAGGGCCACTTGTTCTGAAATCATTTTGAGGCAAGAATTCTTGAAAGATGGTTTCCACAGGTAAGTTGCCCACTGATTTCTAGTTATATTCAAATACTGGCTCATAATTTACAGCAAGAAATTGATAGTTGAAATATGGATAAACTGAAAAATTGTTTTCATTTTTGTTTGTTTTGAAACCAGATCTCATAAAGTCCAGGCTGGCCTCCAATTTGCTATGTGGTTTGGGATAATCTCGAACTCCTGATCCTCCTGCTTATTCAAGCACTGGGATTACAGGTGTGTGCCATCAAACCTGACTTATTATTTTCTTCTTTTTGTTTTTGTTTTTGCTTTTTTGAGACAGGGTTTCACTGTGTACCCTGGCTGTCCAGGAACTCACTCTGTAGGCCAGGCTGACCTCAAAACTCAGAGATCCGCCTGCTCTGCCTCCCGAGTGCTGGGCTTAAAGGTGGGCCCCAACGCCCCCTGTCTTTTTCTTTCTTGAGACAAAGTATTGCTGTATAGCCCATGTTGGCTTGGAGCTTAAAATAATCTTTCTGACTCAGCCTTCCAACTTGGTGGGATTATAGGTGTATACCATGATTCCTGACTGACTTTGTTTTTATTTTTATTATCTTTTTTTTTTTAAAAAAAAAAAGTCATTTCTCAGCATTCTGTTGATGATCAAGTATACTTTACGTGTTATTTTCTTTTTGTAGGATTTTGTTCCCAATAGCTAATTCCAGACTTTTTGTTCTGGCTTATTCTTTTCTTGTCTATATTGTATGAACTTGTTTTGGTACCTTTGTCTCCAGTGACTGACTGTACAGTAACATGCCTTGGTGTGGTTTTGTCTGTGTTTTCCCTGCCTGGGGGTTGCTAAGTTTCTTGGGCTTATGGAATCACAGTTCTCGTGAAATCTGGACAGTTTGGGGCCATACGTCTCTGTTCGGTGCCCTGCCTTTCCTGGGCGCCATTGAAACGGTTCCTCGATTGTGTGCTGTATTTCGAGTCCACTGCTTCAGTTCCTTCTTCCCGGCCAGTCTTTTTTCTTTTTGTTTGTTTTTCTCCTTTTTATGCTCCACTTTTCCTTGTTTTCCGTGGCTGCCTCCAAGCCACTGATCTTTTCTTAGTCAAAGTTTAACTGCTTCTAATCATACACTTAGAAATTCTATTTTATGTAATTTGAAGTTACATAAATCAAGTCTTTAAAAATTAAAAACGAAGTTGGGCTGTTAAATGGCTCAGTAGGTAAAGGTCCTGCCACCAAGCCTGACGACCTGAGTTTGGGCCCTAGGACTCACGTGGTGGAGGAGAGAACTGACTCCCCCAAGTTGTCCTCTGACCTTCATGTGTGAACCATGGCAAGTGCATGCCCACACATGTATCCAGACAGAAAATAATTATTAAAAAACACTTCCCTTTTCCTCATAATATTCTTGCTTATCTTTAAATCCTTTCACATATTAGGTATATTTATAAGATTTGTTATTAAAATTTAAATTTTTTGTTAAATTTATTCATCTTATGTTATGATATTTTGACTGCATGTATGTTTGTGTGTATGTACCACATGCATGCTTGGTGCCCAAGGAGGTCAGAAGATGGCATTGGATCCCCTGGAGCTGAAGTTACAGATGGTTGTGAACCACCATGTAGGTGCTGGGAATCAAACCTGGGTCCTCTGCAGGAGCAACCAGTGCTGTTAATCCCTGAGCCATCTCTCCTGTCCCATATAAAGACTGTAATGTCTAGCTGCTATTCCATTTCTTTTTTAACAGCATAAAGAAAAGACATTTGTTTAGGCTCCTTATTCTGGAGGCGTGAGGTTCAACCATGTCTTAAGTTAGGGTTTCTAGTTCTGGAAACCCTACTTGAATCAAAAGTACCATGGGAAGGAAAGGGTTGGATTCGATCTTACAACTCTCAGGTCCCACTCCATCACTGAGGAAACTGAAGCAGAGACCACAGAGGAATGCTGCTTACTGGCTTGCTCACATGGCTTGCTCAGTTTGCTGTCTTGCCCAGCTGCCCAAGGGTGGCACCACCCACAGTGGGCTGGGCCCTCCCACATCAAACCTCAGTTAAGAAAATTCCCCCACAGACTTGCCTACAGGCCAATCTGATGTAGGCATTGTCTCAACTGAAGTTTCCCCCTCTCATAGACCCTAACTTATTTTGACAAAAACAAAATAAAACAAACTCTAACCAGCCCCAGAGGCCGTACCTGGTAGTGGTTTTCTTGCTGACCAAATCAAAGGTAACTCAGTACATCAATTGCATGACAAGACAAAAAGCAGCAGGTCCGCGTTGGTCTTCCTGTCAGCTGGTATTTTTCTGGTTGTTACTCATATATTTTCCTGGCTCTTGACATACGTAGTCATATTTGATTGAATGCTGAACCCTGCCAAAGCTTTGGTAGTTGTAGACTTTGTTTTTCTTCCTTTAAAGACTGTTGGGCTCTTCCTCCTGTTAGTAGAGGTTTTAATTTATTGTCCTGACCCTGTAAGCTTTTTGTTTGTTTAGTTATAAAGTTACAGCGCTCTTCGCTTCAGGGATAATCTGTCTAAGACTTTACCCTGTTGGGGTCTGCCGTGAATGTTTCTGTTTTACGTTTTGATGTTAGAACTCGAATGCTTTCTGATCGTGCATGAAAGTTTGGAATGTTTTACTTTTCAGCTACTTCGTCACTTTTTCCCCCCATTCTTCTTGACTTCTTATTTACACTTACCTTAGCATTCAGCAAAAGCAAGGAATTTCTAGTTGGATTTTTTTTTTAAACTTTTTTGGGTTTTTTTGAGACAGGGTTTCTCTGTGTAACAGCTCTGACTGTTCTGGAACTTGCTCTGTAGACCAGGCTGGCCTCGAACTCATGAGCTCTGCCCACCTCTGCCTCCCAAGTGCTGGGATTAAAGGCATGCGCCACCACTGCCCAGTTGTTGTTTTTTTTTTAAGCTCTTAAAAAATTTATTCATTTATCCTTCTCTCATATCATATATCCCAACAGTAGTCTCCCTCCCCCCTTTATTTTTAATATAAGCTCCTTCCTTTCTGGGGTTTCTTATGTGGCTTCCCAGCCACTACCGTCTCTAGCCACCCATCTTGCTATTTCCCTAAACAGAAGCCACTGTGCTGTGCTTGGGTCTCCTCTGCACTATAGTCCAGAATTTGCCTCCGAACAGAAAGCTGGGCAGGTGTGTGTACCTGTGGTATGTGTAAGTCAATGCAGGTGTGTTTACCTGTGTTATGTGTAAGTGAATGAAGGTATGTATACCTGTGTATGTGTACATGAATGCAAGTGTGTGTGCTTTGTGGGTATGTGTATGTAAGTGCGGTTGTATGTGTATACCTGTGGGTAAGTGTATATACCTGTGGGTATGTGTATGTGAGTACAGTTGTATGTGTGCACTTGTGGGTAAGTGTGTATACCTGTGGGCATGTGTGTATCTGTGAGTATGTGTATGTAAGTGCAGTTGTGTGTGTGTACCTGTGGTATGTATGTGAGTGCAGTTGTGTGTGTGCACTTGTGGGCATGTATGTGCCTGTGGTATGTGTATGTGAGTACAGTTGTGTGTGTGCACCTGTGGGTAAATGTGTATACCTGTGGGCATGTGTGTTCCTGTGGGTATGTGTACGTGAGTGCAGGTACCTAAAGAGAAACATCTGATCCCTTGGAGCTGGAGTTAAAGACTGGTGTATACCACCTGGCATGGGTGCTGGAAACTGAACTCTTTTGGATTTTCTTTCTGTTGATCTTCATCTGTTTTTACATTAATGCTGTGCTATGGCACATGATAGGAATTATGAGACATCTAATGGGTGATCTCTTGTGGTGTGAATATTTCACTTGACATGATAATCTACTCTTGGAAAATGATTTGAAATATAGTGTCTATGCTATTATGGATGTTATGTTAATCTATCTTATTTAATAACTGAGTGACGAGATTTACTTTTAATGTCCTTGTCTTACAGAGACCTTTTAATAAAAGTGAAATTTGGAGAAAGCATTGAGGACTTACAGACTTGCCGGCTCTTAATTAAACATCACATCCCAGCAGGACTTTTTGTGGATCCATATGAGTTGGCTTCATTACGAGAGAGAAACGTAACAGAGGTACAGACAGCTACTGGGGAATTTTTAAAGATAAATTAATATAGGCATGCTATGATTTGAATTAAGATAAAATGTTAGATAAGACAACATGGTGGTTTAAATTTTGTTGAAGTTTTTAAAAGTTCTTTTTTTTTTTGTAATAGCATAGGTGTGTTCTTCAACAAATGAATGACATTTGTCAGGACTAAGCCACCTAACCTGAAGTAGCTCAATACTTTTCAGTGGTATAGTTCATAGTTTAGTGACTAAGAAAGTTAATGTGTATTTGTGTATGTCTCTGCATCTAAGATTAAGGATTGATAGATAGTGCTTAGCTTTGTTAATAGGAAAGACATACTGGCTCTTTGCTTTTCTTTTTAGTGTATATGTGTGCTAGCATTTGTGCATACACCTGTATACACACATGTGAAGGCCACAGGTTGACACAGGATGTGTTCCTCTGTCTCTCCATCTTACTTTTGTTGTTGTTTTCAAGATAGGGTTTTTCTGTAGCTTTGGAGCCTATTCTCGAACTAGCTCTGTAGACCAAGCTGGCCTTGAACTCACAGAGATTCGCCTGCCTCTGCCTCCTGAATGCTGGGATTAAAGATGTGCGCCCAGCATAATACATATTTCTAAAGGAAATAAAAAATAGTGAATTAAATAAAAGTGAAAATAGACCCTCATAATTAGTGGGTTGCTACTAAAGATATTTAGGAAGAAATTCATAGCACTAAATGACTATATGAGAAAGAAGAAAAATCTCAAATAAATAATTATGGGTCTGAGTCTGGCAGTGGTGGCTCACACTATTAATCCCAGCACTTGGAAGACAGAGGCAGGTGGATCTCTGTGAGTTCGAGGCCATCCTGGTCTATAAAGTGAGTTCCAGGACGGCCAAGGCTGCTACACAGAGAAGCCCTGTCTTGAGAAACAAACAAACAAACAAAAAATTAGTAATAACTCAGAAGCTCACAAGTTAGCTAGGCTTGCATAGCAATGTCCCAAATAAGTTGGAAGGCAAGGATTGACACCTGAGGCTGTCCTGTTGATACACAAATTTGTACATGGATGTTATTTGAGTGTGTGTGCACATACACATGTATACTCACATGTAGACAAAAAGGACCTCAGCTTCCTAAGTGCTGGGACTATAGGTGTGTGCCAACATGTCTGGCTTAGGATGGCTATTTTGAAATAGTTCTAACACATTTAATTTTTGTTTGCTTTTGTTTTTTAAGACAGGGTCTCACTATGTATCCCTGGCAGGCCTGGGACTCACAATGTAGACCAGGCTAGCCTTGAACTCATAGAAATTCACCTGCTTCTACCTCCAAGTGCTGGAATTAAAAGCTTGTGCTATCATGTGCTCTTAGTACTTTTTTAAAAACACATAATTTTTACTTTATTTTTAGTTGTGTATACGTATGTGTGTTGTGTGGACTTGTGCTTGTATGTATGGATGCCTGTGGAGACCAGAAGAGGAATTAGATCTCCTGGAGCTGGAGTTACAGGCAGTTATGAGCTGACCGACATGGGCACTGTGAACCAAACTCAGGTCCACCGTAAGAGCTCCTCATCCCTCACTGAACCGTCTATCTCTCCAGCCCCTATTTTATTTAGTGTTGGTGCTGGTGTGCATGCCATGGCACACATACAGATCCGAGGACAACTCTTTTTTAAAAGATTTGTTTATATTTTTATTATTTATATTTACATATTTGTCTGTATGAGGATTTGTGCGCATGGGTGTCTACGGAGTCAAGAAGAGGATGTCAGAACTTTTGGAACTAGGGTTCACAGGTGTTTTTGAGCTATCCAATGTACTTTCCATTGCTGGTCTAGAAGACAGAGAAGCATGTACTTCTAACCACTGAGCCATTGCCCTAGCCTGGTAGAAAACCTCTGGGAGGCAGCTCTCTCCTTCCAGCGTGTATTCCAGAGTTTGAAGTCAGGTGGTCAGACGTGCATGACAAGTCCTTCTGTCTATGGAGCATCCCTCAGAGCTTTGCTGGTTGGGAATGATGTAAGTATAGTATAGTTGGCTAGGGCAAGGCAGGAGATTGGTAATTTTGTGGCCAGCCTGAACTGCAGAGTAAGTTCAAATACAGCCTTAGCTACACAGTGAGACAGTGTGTGTGTGTGCGCGTGCGTAATTTGTTTGAGGTTGGTAAGTGTGTTCAGTGGTAGATCCCTTGCCTAGAGTGTATAAAGTCCTGGTTTTGAGCCCCAGCACCACAAAAATAAAATTGTTTTTCACATTTCCATTGTATACCCACTCTAGAAAGTTGCTGATCTTTGCCTGGCTTCCTGCCTGCGGTGCTCTGGCTTACTCACCACCATTTACCTCACCGAAGAACAGGAAATGGCCAGGATGATACCAGTCATTTCAGCCTAACACAAGTTAAACGGTTTTGTCATAGTTGTTCCCCGTTTGCTTTTATTATTCATGGATCACATCCTGTGAGGATGGAAACGGGGTGGAAATGGCCTGTACCAGGAATGCACTCACTGTTTCTGCATCTCTGTACAGCAGTCTCCGGGTTTTACCTTTGTCATTTTATTTTTCTTCATTAGTATTTTCTTCTTGATTAATATTTGTTTTTTCTCCCACAGGCAGTGATGCTATCAGAAAGTTTTAATATAGAAGCTCCCAACTATTTGTCCAAAGAATCTGACATCCTCATTTATGCACGACAAGACGCACAGTGCATCGATTGTTTCCAGGCCTCTTTGCCTGTGCACTATCGCTATCACCGGCCACATAGGAAGGATGGAGACACCCTGATTGTCATCAACAACCCGGACTTACTGATGTACTGTGACCAAGGTGAGGGTTAGAATTAAGACTAAAGGTGTGGTGGCAGGCCTTAGTCAAGGACAGGAATGGCAAACACATCCTCCTTTATCAACTTGTAGTGAGTTGCTGTGAGATAGATACCTATAAGTTCCACCCAGGTCAGAAAATAAAACTGCAGGCCTGTAAGACTGCTTGGAAGATGAAGGCTCTTATTGCTAGGCCTGACCAGCTGTATGCATAATGAAGGAGAGACCAACTCCTGCAAGTTCTCTGACCTCCACGTGTGTGCTAGGTGCATGTGTACACACACACGCACACATACACACTAACTGTAATAAGCATTTTAAAGGTGAAACGGGACTTTTCCACCTGCTCTCAGAGCTGGCCCATGTGTTCTGTCCCTATCAGAGTGTCCTCTTTCCTTTCTAAGACTAACTCATTTTACTGACTTTAACACACTTCCGCTTTTATCTACGATTTTTAACACTCTGTGTATATTTGGATGTCTATCTGTGGGTATGTGAACCTGGGAGTACAGTGACTGGAGAGGGTAGAAACAGGTGTCCAGTCTCCTAGAGCTGAGTTAAAGGCAGTTGTGATTCACCCACTGTGCATGCTGGAACCAACACAGGTTCTCTGGAAGAGCAAGAAGTGCTCTTAACTTCTGAGTCTTCTCCCCATCCCCGACCCTCACTTCCTTAATGGACATGAATCTTTTTGGGGGCGTTTCTTGACAGAGTTACTTTGTGTATCCTTGACTGTCCTAAAACTCACTGTGTAGACCAGGCTGACTTCAAGCTCAAGAGGTCCATCTGCTGCTTCCTCTCGAGTGCTAGGATTAAAGGTGTGCCACCACCACCTGTCTGTGAGCATGAGTCTTAAATACTATAATTTTAGTCTTGTCCATAACAATAGCAACAAAAAAATGTTATTTCTATTAAATTTCTTTAGTTTTGTTGTTTCTCACCTGTCTCTCTCTTTTCCTTAAGATTCTTTGGAAGGCCCATTGATCTGAAGGTTTCTTTCTTACAGTTTGGGCCTTCCTATTTGCACTCATGTAAAACGCTTATTTCCTGGGATTAGCTCCATGTAGTCAGAGCATGCTCATTTGTTTCCAGGCCTCCCAGACCCAAAGTAATCACACAGAAACTGTATTAATTACAACGCTGTTTGGCCAACAGTTTAGGCATATTTCTGGCTAACTCTTATGTCTTAAATTAACCCATTTCTACTAATCTGTATATTACCATCTGCTTGTAGCCTACCAGTAAGCTTCCATCCAGCATCTGTCTCCTGCGGCAGCCCATGGCTTCTCTCTTACTCTGCTTGCTCTCTTTCTACATCTCTGTTTAGATTTTCCACCAGGCTTTACTCTGTTAAGCCATTGACCAAAAGGAACTTCTTTATTAATGAATGGCAATAAAACATATTCACAGCATACAGAGGGGAATCCCACATCACCTCCCCTTTTCTGTCTAAATTTAACATAGTAAAATTACATATAACAAAACAGGTATAAAACAAGAATTACAGTTATAATATTTATATCTATTTTATCTTTTATCATAACTAAGGAAAACTATAATTATGAGTATCTGTTTTTCAACTCCATCAAAGATTTCAGAAGGATATAATATTACCTAAGTAAACAGGAAGTGCATTGTAAACAACTTCCAAACCTGTAAGATTGATAGAGACATCTCATTGCCTGAACAGTCACCCAAAGTTCTTCTGTAACGTTGGAGTATCCATTTTCAGTCTACAGGCCCATAGTATCTGGCAGACTTTTCCATGAAGCAGGAAATTTCAAAGACAGTTCCACCTATATTGACAGTTTGTTAGTCACTTTCTTCTATGTCCTGCAGAATGTCTGGCAGACTCTTTCATGAAGCAGGAACCCTGAAGAACTGTCTCACCTTCTTTAGGCAACTTCAGCAGTCATTTTTCTGTGGATTCTGCATGTCCAGTTCATATAGCATAACATCAAGCAGTCCTGGCAAGAGCAGTTTCTTTCCCAAACGGCTAACAAACTCCATAAGGAGTCTCTTCGATGCTCATCTTCCTCTTGAAGTAATTGGCACTGCCAGGAGTAGATGTGTCTCATTGTCATGAAAAGTCCTAAGTTTTTAAAACATTTTAAGTGCCATATTCTGTTAGCCTTTGAAAGATTTGGAGAATATCTATCTGAAATATATCTCTATATATCTAGAAAACCTAACTAACATGACTACAAGCTTGATTATTATAGATGACTATCTACTAACTTACATTTCTTAATTATGCATTACATATCCCCCTTTAAATGTAAACAAACATTTATAAACAATATTTGAAATTTGGGCATAGTTCTCTCCAAACTGCTTACTGCTTCTTGTTGGGCAAAGTAATTTTAGGGGTTTACAGAGACCTTTCAGGGGATCTTGGTCCATCAAACCACATTAGTCTGGAAGGAATCCACACGTTCTTATCTTCTGTGGAAACAAAAGCAGGACCTCTTTTCCCAAGCAACATAGCCTTAGACCCAAATTTTGAAGTCAAGATACTTTTAAAATATGTATGTTGGTTTAACTTAGCAGCCCGTACAATGTCTCTCTGTATTTAGCTCATTTACAGTCAAAAAATTCAAAGAAAACACAATAATATACATAACCCAGATTCTCTATGTATATTCCATCTTTATTGGCTTATTGTTCTTACTCTATTACTTTTTCTATAAGTTTAATGTTTGTTTTATTATCTTTACTCCTTTAACCTATGACTGTCTGTACTCTTATATTATAACTGTCTATACTCTTTCTCTTCTCTCTCTCTCAAGCTTATGTTCATTTATCCAACACTTGGACCCATTCAGAAGTCTTTTCACCTGAATCTGTTTTTATTGCATATCTGTAATCTTTTTCTGACCAGGACTGCTTCTTAACATGCTAAGCAGCGTGGCTAGAACTAAGGCTGCTTTGCCTTTTTGCTCTGCCCAGTCCAACATGGCGGAGGCATGTTCACTGCCTCTGCAAGCCATGCACGTATGCAGCAGATCTATTTTGTGCCATTAAGCAGTTTGTAACATGCTGCTCACAAACCCTATTTAAGTGCTTGGCCTCCTGAAAGAGCCAGAGTTTGTACTGGCAGCGTTAACCAGGAAGCTGCCGTTTCTTATGCTGAGTCAATAAGCCTTTTCTTAAAGAAGCCGTGACACCCCTGCTTGCTGCCAGCAAACAGAGCTCATCTGGGGGAAAAAATGCAAGAAGCTGCACTAAACTCTGTTCTTTTCTGTCTAGAGTCTTTTTTCAAGCTCCCTCAGGTTTTATGTGAATGTAGTTGCCCCACGTTGGGCACCAGTCCAGACATACAATCAGTTTCATTCATGTTTGGTTCCTTTGGCAAGACCATAGGTAATACTAAGTTCTTTTATGAGTAGACGTGTCATATCTGGCCATTTCTGTTTTCAGGGGAAGGGAATGAGATAGGATCTTCTTGTATAGGCCACTCTTGCCTTAAACTTCCTTTATTGCCTCATACTCCTGAGTGATGGGATCGCTATACTCTTGAGGGTGTCTCCTTTTTATAGTGATCTACCTCCCCTTTGCTGCTTTCTGTTTTGCTTTTAAATATATTTTACATATAAGTATTTGCCTACATGTATGTATATGTACCACATACATACCTATGGATGGTTGTGAGCCACCATATGGGTGCTGGGAATTGGACCTAGGTCCTCTGAAAGAAGAGCAAATGCTCTTAACTAAGAGACCAGTCCCTGTTTTCTTATAAAGCTAACGAGGTTGTTACTAATAGACAGCAGAGGGGGATTTTTAATCTTATGTTGTCGCTGTTCAGCCTTTCCTGACAGGAATGTTAAAGGCTTTTCCACTCTGTCCACTTTCTTTATCCCGTCGTGTTTTCTGCTCCTGTTCAAGATGCCATTGCTTGTCCTATCTAAGCTTTGAAGATGTGTCTCTCCTGAGAGAACACACAGGATTCTGATAGTTTGTTTAGATCTGAGTGCTCTTTGTGTTGATGTTTGATATAGAAATTTATCAGGCTGTGTACTGAAGATGTGTTCATTTTTATGAATATAATTTATATTCTTTAGAACAGGTTTTTGAAATAATGATGTCTTTTTTAAAATAATACTTCAAAAAAATCACATTATATTTTTAATGGCATCTGTTAACAAAACATGTTTCACTTCTGCGGTCACCATTGCAATTTCATGTTTCTTAGGTATCCACGTAAGAAAGAACACCAGCATACCAGCATGTGATGATGGGTGTGGGCTGTCCTGCTGTATATGTGTTGCTTTTATTGGTTGATGAATAAAACTGTTTTGGTCAATGGCTTAGCAGAGTACGGCCAGGCAGGAAATCTGAACAGATAGATAGATAGATAGATAGATAGATAGATAGATAGATAGATAAATAGAGTAAGTGTAGGTGGAGTCAAGGAGATGCCATGTAGCTGCCAAAGGAGAAAGACACCAGAAAACCTTACCTGTAGTCCACATCCTTGTAATGATATACAGATTAATAGAAATGGGTTAATTTATGCTGTAAGAGCTAGCCAGTATATTGGCTATTGGCCAGACAGTGTTGTAATTAACATAGTTTCTGTGTGATTATTTGAGTCTGGGCGGTTGAGAAATAAAATGCAGTCTCCATCTACAGTTGGGTCCACGCCATCTATGCTGTATGTAGAGATGTCTGAATTCTCATATCCCAGCATGAACGGTTCCTGATGAAGTGCAAGGCAAGCTGTAGCCTTGAATCCAAAGATAAGGTTTCTGATGTCTTGTTTTTCCCCCTTTTTTCAGAGTTCCCTGTTTTGAAATGCTGGGGTCAGGCAGAAGTAGCAGCTCCTTGTGCTTTGAAGAGTAAAGAGATGTGCCGGTGGAGGAGCATGCAGTATAAATCAGTAAGATGCTTTATGCTGCTTTTAAATAGCACTGTCTCACTTCAGTGCTGCTGTGTTGAAAGGTTAGCATGCTGTATTCTAACACAAAGCACCTTTCTTGTTTTAAGATTCTTTGCTCCTGATGATCACAGTGAGTAAAGGCAGTATCATTTGAGTTGGGAGCTGGTGGGGTTTAGAGTATACGTGTTGCTGGGATCCTTTGTAAAGATGTGACATGGCAAAGAAAAACTGCAGATGCATTCAGTTTCCTTCAGCAGGAAGGCCATCCTCCGCCACACAGTGATTCAAAGCCAGTCTACGCTGTGTGAACCCTGCGTCAAACTAAAATAACACAAAACCAAAAAGGGATATACCATTTATAGGAAAGGAGAACCCAGAATGTGAGTTAGTGGAAGAGTGCTTGCCTATCAAGTGGAAGACTTTGGGTTCGAACCCCAACATAGAAAAATTAAAATTTTAAATGAAAGTATGATGTAATATGTGTGTATTCCCAGTACTCAGGAGGTTAAAGCACAAGGAATATGAATCCCAGGCCAGCCTGAATGACATAGGGAGTTTGAGATTAGATCCTTCTCTCTATCTCTCTTTTTAATTTTCCTTGTTATTTATTATTAGTGGTGTGTGTATGTGTATATGTAGAGGTCAGAGTACACTTTTAGGAGTTAGTTCTCTCCTCCTATCCAGGGTTTCTTTCTTCCTCTTTTTATTCCCCCCTTGGACAGGGTTTCTCTGTGTAGCCCTGGCTGTCCTGGATCTTGCTCGGTAGACCAGGCTGGCCTTGAACTCAGATCCTCATGCCTCTGCCTCCTAAGTGCTGGTTAAAGACATGTGCTACTGTGACCTGGCACAGCCACCACTGCACAGCAAGGGTCCCTTTCACTGTGGGTTTGGGAAATCAGACCTAGGACATCAGACTTGGATAGCAAGTGAGTGCTTTTACCCACTAAGTAAGCTATCTTGTCAGCCCAAGACCCTGTCTCTTAAGAAAAAGTAAAGTTAGAAGTAATGTAAACTTTTGAGTTAGAGAATCAAAGAAATGTTGAGATCACAGTGAGATATACATTTAAGTGACTCTAATTTTTCTTTTTCTGTTTTTTTGAGACAGGTTTTCTCTGTGTACCCTGGCTGTCCTGGAATTTGTTCTATAGATCAGGCTGGCTTCAAATTCAAGGGATCTGCCTGTCTCTGCCTGCCAAGTTTTGGGATTAAAGACATGGGTCGCCATGCCTGGCTAAGAAAAGAAAACTTTTAAGAATAAAAAAATAGTCTTTTAAAAAAGAAAACAAAGATGGGTAGTGGTGGAGCAATCCTTCAATCCCAGCACTTAGGAGACAGAGGCAGGCAGATCTCTTGAGTTTGAAGCCAGCCTGGTCTGAAGAGCCAGTTCTAGGATAGCTAGGGCTGTTACACAGAGAAACCCTGTCTTGAAATGCAAAAAACAAAAACAAAAACAAAAACAAAAAAAAACCCACCCAACTTTATGCAATGTATATTGATAATATCTATCTATCTACCACTACTCCTCCTAGTGCCACACATCCTCCCAAGTTCATGTCCTCTTTTTAAAAAAGTATGTATAACCTAATGAATCTAGTCAGTGTTGTCCATGTACACATGGGTGTGTGGCCATCCACGGGGGCATGAGCAACCTGCCAGTGACATGTCCCCAAAGGGGACTAAGTCTTCCTCCCTCAGCAGCCATCAACTGCCTGTAGCTCCTCCACTAGCTGTGGAGCCTCAGAGGCTCCGCCCCCAACCGTGCTGGAGTTTTGATTGGCTTGATCTTACACATGTCTTGTGCCTGTAACTCCTGCTTCTGTGGGCCCATACAGACAATAGCCATGTCATGTCCAGAAGTATGCATTCCACAGCTGCCTTCCATACCTTCTGGCTGTTTCATTCTTTTTGCCCCTCTGTGAGAAGTTCTAGAGCCTTGATTGGCAGGAGCTAGATGTAGATGAGCACCTACAGTTATTAAATGCCTCTGATTTTCTGTTTCCCTCTCTCCACAGATACGTAAGAACTTGACCCTACAAGTTCCAGTGGGACTGACGATTCATACCTCTTTAGTGTGTTCTGTGACTCTGCTCATTACCATCCTGTGCTCTTCTTTGATCCTTGTAGCCGTTTTCAAATACGGCCATTTTTCCCTGTGAGTTTTATACAGCTATGTTTTCTATGAACCTAATAAATGGGACCGATTCATTTGTGACAAGGCGTGTTAACTGGCTATTTTGTCTTCCTTATGGTTAAAATTTCGTTTCCAGGCGGAGCTCTGTCAATTCATGGCTAGCCTTGTCTATATTGTAAGAACTTGTCCAATAAAACAAACAACAAAAAATTGTGTTCCCCAGAGGAAATTTTGGGCCATTGCCAGCTAAACTTAGTGTTCTGTTCTATAAACCTCAAGTACTATTGGGTAGTCTGGTAGAGGACACTTCTTTGTGTTAGATTAATACTTAGAAGTGCTGTCTTCATCTGGTATAGAATGAGTAGAATGAGTTCTTTGTTTGTTAAATTATTTACTTGCATTTTATGTGCATTGGTGTTTTGTCTATGTGTATGTCTGTGTGAGGTGTTGGTTCCATATGAACAGAAGTGCAAACAATTGTTAACAGATATCTGGGTTCTGGGAACGAACCTGGATCCTCAGGAAGAGCAGACAGTGCAATTAACCCCTGAGCCATCTCTCTAGGCCCCTAAGCCTGTGTTTTACAAGCATTAACTGTGGGATTAATAATGTGACACTGAAATGGGATTAGCTTCTCTTTTTTCCTTTTTCATTTTTTGGAGTGGGGATATGACATTTATTGATTTTATCTGCTAGAGTGGAAATAATGTCTATAAACATCCAAATGTTTGTTACTATACTTCTACAACACAATTAAAGTCCAAGTGGTTTTTGCCAGATAATGGTGACACATTCTTTTAGTCTCAGCACTCCAGAGGCAGAGAGACAGGTGAATCTCCGTGAGTTCAAGGACAGCCAGGACTACACAAAGAAACTCTTGACGGGGGGAGGAGGGGATCCTAGTGGTTTTTAAAAAGTAAATTTAATCAAAACTCATTACTTCAGAATTGATAGTTTCTTTAAAGTCACAGTAATACTTAACTAGGATATAAGAATTGAATGCCGAAATTTGGTTAATTGGTTGGAAAATTAAACTTCCAGCTTGCTCAAATAGAATCACAGAAAGGCACAGTTGTGTCTTCAGAGAGGCAGAGTCCACTAGATTCACTAACGTTGGACAGCTGTCAAGAAGTTTTAGAGCCAGGCATAGTGGCTTGTGCCTCTAATTCCAGCACTTGGGAGGCAAAGGCAGGTGAATCTCTGTGAATGCAAAGCCAGCCTGCCTACTCTACATAATGAATTCCAGTACAGCCAGAGTTTTGTGTATTTGTTTAGTGTGTTTGTGTTTAGTGAGACCCTGTTTTGTTATGTTGTATATTTGTGTTTAGGGAGACCCTGTCTCCCCAGACAAAAAAACTAACAAAAAACCAAAAGGCTATTTAGAGTGGGAAGGGTATTGGGGTTGATAACTCACACCTGTAATCTCAGCACTTAATAGTAGAGGAAGATAATTAGGCTTTGAAAGCTAGACTGCACTACATAGCCAATTCAAGGTCAGTCTGGACTATGTGAAGAGCAGCCAGTGCTCTTAACCACTGAGCCATCTCTCCAACTCCCCAGAAGGAAGATTTAGAAATAAAAACAAAGCAGAGAAAGAAATTAGTCAGATAAACACCTAGATCCTACTGCTTACCCTTTTATCCTATGGAGAATCAAACTGCATTTTAAAAGTTTCTTTTTGATTTTGTTTATGTGTTTGAGTGTTTGCCTGAATGAATGTATGTGCACTGCAAATGTTCGGTACCCATGGAGGACAGATGAAGGCATTAGGTCACCTGGAACTGGAGTTACAGACGGTTGTGAGCTGCCACACAGGTGCTGGGAAATGAACAGGTTCTCTGGAAGAGCAGCCAGTGTCTTAATTGCTGAGCTGTCTCTCCATCTTTTCTAAAACCTCTGATTAATAAATTCCACCTTTGCTTAAGTATGGATATACATGTGTATGTGTGTGTGTGTTTTGTGGGAAATCCTCCTATGTTTTACTTTTATTGGTTAGTGAATAAAGAAGCTTCTTTGGCCTGTGGTAGGGCATAGTAGACCTAGATGGGAAACCTAAACTGAATGCTGGGAGAAAGAAGGTGGAGTCAGTGAGAAGCATGTAACCGCCAGAGGAGAAAAAAGTGAGCTACTAGCTGGAACCTTGCTGGTAGGCCACGTACCTCATGCTAGGAATACACTAGAATCATTGGCCAAGCAGTGTTGTAAATAATACAGTTTTCTGAGTGATTATTTCGAGTCTGGGCAGCTGGGAATGAATGAGCAGCCTCTACCAACATGTGTGCATTTAAGAAAAGCATTTGTTTTCAGTTGAACAAAGTTTCATTAGTCTATAAGTGTAAAGTTAATATTTAATATTGTGTCTTATTATATAATCCAGTTTTGTAGTCATTTAGATGGATGTCAAGAAGCACAAGAAAAACACGGGAATGACACAACGCAAACATATGACTCACTGCTTAGTTTTGATACAAGCACATGTCTGTGTTTGGCTTCCTTATATTATCTTCCTTTGATAGACATGAGTAGGTGTTTTATATTTTCAGTCAGTTTTGTAACTCCGTGTGTGGTCCTTTTTGTTTCAGGCCAAGAGAATGGATACTGCTGTCTTGTTCATTGTGTCCCAGTATTTATTCCACTTTTATAATTTATTTATCTTAAAAATTTGTGTTAGGCTCTTTTGGATGCAGAGAACAGAAAACAACTCAACTAGGGTGGTGCTAGGCATGTGTATTATTACACATCTTAGTCATTTAGCTAATTGTTTTGGACAATGCTACAAGCTTTAGGAATTAGAATGATCCTTTGCAGCCTTAATGACTTGGAATATAAGGAATGTAAGGACTATTCTAGGAAAGCTACTTATTTTGATAATCCATGTTCAGTGCTAATTATATGGAAATGGAATCAGAATAAAGTGACGAACGTCCATCTCTCTCAGACATGCATCCTGTGTTGCCAGCAGGCGGCTGAATGCATGTAGTCGGTAGACTACAAGAAAGTAAAATGGTATGCACTGAGTATACACGTCAGAATTGGCCTAAGCCGTGAGCGTATAGTTACTCATCTTATTTATTGTTCCTTACCTTAATTCCCCCCCCCCTCGCTCGGTGTCATACAGCTTATCTGGTCTCCCACTCACTATGTAACCCTTGAACTCCTTATCTTTCCTCTACCTCCCAAGTGCTGGGATTTCCAGCTGGCACCACTATGCCTGGCATGAATTATATCTTTTCTCGATCTCTGTTGGTAATGTTTCTGTTTTAGTTTGATAATTTAGCTACCTGTACATTTCTAAGTTTAGTTATTTCTCTCAGTACTTTCGGACATTTCTTCTATTACAGACTGGCACCTGTAGCTGCTTTGGAGATAACCTATTTTACTGTCTCTTTGTGGCAGGGTCGCCTGTTATAGCCCAGGCTGACCTCAGATTCACAGGTGTGATGCACTATGCCCAGCTAAGAAATCTGGTGTGAGTTTAGCAGTTGCTCATCTGTGGAGAACTGCCTTTGTTCAGGTTTTTTCCCTGGTTGCTGTGTCTTTGGTATTCCACAGCTCCACCGCTATCTCCTAAGCAGCTATCAAAACCCTAGAGGTTTCCAAGGAAAGTTGGTATCTTAACCCCAGCGGACATGGCTTCATTCACTCTGCTTTTCTCCTTGTTTGGGGCTGAGCCCGGGCTTTGGAGAACTACCAGAGAGAGTCATTCTTCGCTAGTGACAACTCAGCTGCGTTTCTACGAGGATGTCACTTCAGCAAGTGTTTCTGTGACAGTGGAGCACTTCTGAGTTATCTGTGTCTTTTTCTCTCATCTTCATAGCAGTTTAAAAAAAAAAAAACAGCAAAAGCCACTACTGTTTTTCTAGAATCTCTTGGAATCACTCTCCCTAGTTCATTTCCTTCTCATTATTTTATTTTTTGGGGAGGGGAGGGGTGCAGGTGTGGAAGTCGGAGTTCTCTCCTCCTACCCTGTGGATCCTGGGGGTCAAACTCAGGAGGAGCCCTGGCGGCAAGCACCGTTACCTGCTGAGCTATCTAGCTGCCTCCCCTTTCTTTCTTCTTTTCTTTTTCCCTTTAGCTAAGTCTTTCTGCGTGATCCAGACTAGTCTTGAACATTCCTGCCTCAGCCTCCCAAATGCTGATAGGCATGCACCATGGAACCTGACAGTCTCCTGAGCTTAAAGGGCAGACCAGTAGGTAACATGACTTCTCTGCTTAAAATTGGTTAATGGCTTCTTGAAGTAAAGGACACATTTCTTACCGTATCGGTCCTGTCTGCTGCAAAGTTTGTTTGGCTATTTTGTTTGTTTTTTGAGATGGGGTCTTATACTCAAATTCCTCATCTTTCCTCAGCCCCACAAGTGCTGGGATTGCCACTTTGCTCCGTTATATCTGTTGAGCTCCAGGTTTTCCTCATAGACCCGTCTTGCACCAGACTGCAACTACACAGGTCTCCTTATGTTCTTGTGAGCCTAATCTTTAGTGGCTGAGTCATCTCTCCACCCCAACGTGGAGCTGAGGACGGAGCCTAGGGCCTTGCGCTTGCGCTCTACATCTGGGCTAAATCCCCAACCCTATGTGGGTGTTCTTAACCGACATGGCATTCCTTTTCCTTCCTGCCTGTAACCCTTTCCTCTGGGTGTTTCTGGCTTTCTCTTTCTGTTTTCACTTTAAATGTCACCTTCTCTGTCCAAAGTAATCTCCCTCAATTTTTTCATTGTAACAGATATAAATGCTTTATTTTGTTTTCATTATTTATTCTTTACGAAGACTAGATAAAGCATGTCCATCCCCGAATCCCTGGTTGCTAAAGGTGTCCTTTATATGCATTATACACTGACATAATTGTAGAATAAGAATACACAGATTAGACGTGGCAGTGGTGGCACACGCTCTTAATCCCAGCACTCAGGAGGCAGAATCAAGCGGATAATTCCAGGACAGGCTCCACAGCTACAGAGAGTTTCTGTCTCGAAAAACAAAACAAAACAAAAAGTTACATAAATTATTAATAATTATAATAATTTTATAATTATTTTATTAATTATAAAATAAATAATTTATTTAATATTTTTATTAAATAAAAATAAAATATTTTATTTATTACATAAAATATTAATAACTTTGTATTTTATTAACTGTTCATAAAATACAAAGGTATTTGTTTGCAAGGAGGGAGGACCTAATTTAGCAGCATTATCTGGTCTAATTTGTAGGTTTATAAAAAAGCAAAGTGGTAAATGGATAAATGCTCAGAAACAAAGATCCTGTATACGCAAACATATAGGGATCAGATGTTCTCCGTCAGCATCTTCAGTAGGTAAAATGTAACTGCAGACTGCAGAATGCTGAATTAAATGAGGGACAAGTTTTCTCTAATCCCAGAACGACCTCCCCGCCCACCCTTCCGCCAGCAGACGACTGGACTACGGTTCCCAGCAGCCCTGTGCGAGCCCGCCCTTCGGGCGTGACGCTACCGGTGGAAGCACAGCCCCGCCCCTCGCCCCGCCGACGCCCTCCCCCAGGGTTGTGGCCACGCGCAGCGGTAGCGGTTGTTCCGCTTCCCCTCCGGCCCGGGCCGTCGCCATTGCCGAAGGCTCCTGCCCTCCCCTCCCTGGCCCGCGGGGCTCAGCGCCTCAGGGCCTAGGTAGGATGGCCGCACCCCGAGCCGCTCCCCTCTGCCCGGCCCTTCTCCCTCTCTGCTGCCCAGCGCAGTGCTTGCCTGCGTCGTCCCGGCAGCCCGCCCTGGGTCGGGCGGAGACTTTCCCTCTCTGACCATTTCATAATTCTGAATCATGTCTGATAACGGCGAACTAGAAGACAAACCTCCAGCACCTCCTGTGCGAATGAGCAGTACCATTTTTAGCACTGGAGGAAAAGATCCTTTATCAGCCAATCACAGTTTGAAACCTTTGCCTTCTGTTCCAGAGGAAAAGAAACCCAGGAACAAAATTATCTCCATATTCTCTGGCACAGAAAAAGGAAGTAAAAAGAAAAAAAAAAAAGAACGGCCAGAGATTTCTCCTCCATCTGATTTTGAACACACCATCCATGTTGGCTTTGATGCTGTTACTGGAGAGTTCACTGGCATGCCGGAACAGTGGGCGAGACTGCTGCAGACCTCCAACATTACCAAACTGGAGCAGAAGAAGAACCCTCAGGCTGTGCTGGATGTCTTGAAGTTCTACGACTCTAATACTGTGAAGCAGAAGTACCTGAGCTTCACTCCTCCTGAGAAAGATGGCTTCCCTTCTGGAACACCAGCACTGAATACCAAGGGATCAGAAACATCAGCAGTAGTAACAGAGGAAGACGATGATGATGAAGATGCTGCTCCTCTGTCATTGCCCCTCAGCCTGATCATACAAAATCAATTTACACACGGCCTGTCATTGACCCTATTCCTGCTCCAGTTGGTGATTCTAATGTTGATGGTGGTGCCAAGTCTTCAGACAAACAGAAGAAGAAAGCCAAGATGACAGATGAAGAGATTATGGAGAAATTAAGAACTATTGTGAGCATAGGTGATCCTAAGAAAAAATACACAAGATATGAAAAAATTGGACAAGGGGCTTCAGGTACAGTTTTTACTGCAACTGATGTAGCACTGGGGCAAGAGGTTGCTATTAAGCAGATTAACTTACAGAAACAACCAAAGAAAGAATTGATCATTAATGAAATTCTGGTGATGAAAGAATTAAAGAATCCCAACATAGTCAACTTCTTGGACAGTTACCTGGTAGGAGATGAGTTGTTTGTGGTGATAGAGTATCTTGCTGGTGGCTCACTCACTGATGTTGTAACAGAAACCTGCATGGACGAAGCACAGATTGCAGCTGTGTGCAGAGAGTGTTTACAGGCCTTGGAGTTTTTACATGCTAATCAAGTGATCCACAGAGACATCAAAAGTGACAATGTGCTTTTGGGAATGGAAGGCTCAGTTAAACTTACTGACTTTGGATTCTGTGCTCAGATCACCCCTGAGCAGAGCAAACGCAGTACTATGGTTGGAACGCCGTACTGGATGGCACCAGAGGTGGTTACACGAAAAGCCTCTGGCCCCAAAGTTGATATATGGTCTCTGGGCATCATGGCTATTGAGATGGTTGAAGGAGAGCCTCCATACCTCAGTGAAAATCCTCTGAGGGCTTTGTACCTGATAGCAACAAATGGAACTCCTGAACTTCAGAATCCAGAAAAACTTTCTCCAATATTTCGGGATTTCTTAAACCGGTGTTTGGAGATGGATGTGGAGAAAAGGGGTTCAGCCAAAGAACTGTTACAGCATCCGTTCCTGAAACTGGCCAAACCATTATCCAGCTTGACGCCACTGATCCTGGCAGCTAAAGAAGCCATGAAGAGTAATCGCTAACACCATCACTGAGGCTTTGTATTCTTTCATCCATTTTCTAAAAAGTTTTTTTAAAACATGAAATTGTTACTCTGAGGGGTGTAAAGAGACAGTCTGCATCACATGGAGAAAAACAAGCCAACTTCTATTTTCTAAAGATGACCAAGAGAAAATCACAGTAAGAGAATTATGACTTCCAGATGTGCCCCTGTTTTAGGGTCCAAAAGGAATTGTGGACTGCCTCGCTAGCCTTACATTTCAGCAGACAGCGCTTGACGTTTGCGTACTGTGTGATGACTCTGTCACTACAGTAGATCCTGTTTGTTGTCTCCTTTGGGATACTTCCATACTTGAATGTCAGATTCGAGTTTTTCTGAGTATTTCTTAATCTGCTGGTCTCACCTCCCCTTTGTAGCCTTCCCTTCCTCTGATCTGTTCCCCTTGAGTTGTTGCCTAAATTCAAGGCAAGTGTGACAGAAATTATGTAGCTCTTTATATTGGCCAAAGAACTTGACATGTTGTGACTTTTTATAGAAGTTAGGACCAGCGTTGTACATGTATTTCAGTCTAGAGCTTAAACTGAAGGGGGAAAGTATGTGACTTTTACCTTTTTTAACAAATGTGAAAGAGTCAACTTTAGAAGTCTCATGGTAGTGAGTTTGACATTTGTTACATGTATAGAAAGGACTAATAATCTATATTTATAACTAAATCATTGATACAGAGAAAGACTCCACTGACTGTATGTTCTTACCATTTTTGTCTTTTCTGCCTGTTTCTCCTCATATTTGGCTTTAGGAACAAAAGTGATTTGTTCTTCTTCCGCTTGGACTGCATGCTTTTGGTGCCGGTCCCTTCCCTTTTGTTCCCTTGTGAATGAGTGTCTGTATATGTTGCGATTTTAGGCATCGGGTTTTGTTCAAATCAACCCTTATTTCACATACACCCGGGCAAGCAATAACCATTGAATTTTCAGAATTTAAAAGTTAAGAACGTTTTTTCTCTTTAAAAGGAAAACTATTTGGGAGTAGCAGAAAGCAAGAGAGATTTGAACCTTGGTATTTTAGGCTAGTTGTAATAATGAAATGGCAGTGTTGTAGAGATAAGGCTCATGGCAGTAAACTGTAAAGATTCATCTGGTTTACAGTGTTCCCAACCCATTATGTTTTACTGTGAGAGATGAAATAGCAGAGTACACGGTGGATCATTTGAGGTGTTGGGGTAGTTTAGTTTTTGTTTTTCCAAATGAGTATTCATGTAAAAAAACTGGAGAAAGAGAACTGCAATGTGCATATTGATAGTGATACTTGTTATTCTAAAGATTTAATGAGAGGTCTGTGACCTGTAGCGTTAGCTCTTAGCCTGCCCTCCCCTTCCTGTCTTTCCTCTCTGCTTCTCCTTATTGCTTTGTTGTTTTGCCTGTGGAGGAGGAATTGTCCATTCTGCATTCCTGGGGCCACAGAAGAGGAAGTTCTGTGGTTGGTTCAGGCTCCTGTCCCTGCCATCCCCTTTCAAAGAACTTGACACGTGCTTGCCATTCTGCACAGTACAAATCATGAGTAAATAGGTGTGCTCTTTAGGGCACTTGGGAAAAGAGTCAGAGTTTCATTTCCTGTTGTGCCCATTCAGATACGAAGATGAGAAGAGGTCTCTGGGGTTTTCATAGCAGAAAGGTTTTCAATGAAACTCCACATCTAGAGCACTTAATGTCCTGTTGTCCTTGTGATTGCATTTTTATCTGGACTGCATTTGGCCTCCTACAACTGTCACTAAATTACAGAAACAACTGATATATTTCTGCTGGGAAGCTGCAGTGTCTCTTGAGTTGCAGATGTGAGCATTGTTTGTAAACAGTTGTCTGGGTAGATGATAATGGTGATGCTGCCGACAAAGTAGAAAGCCAGCAAGATGATGGAACTGGTCATCTGTCTCATGACTGCTCAAGAAGGCACTCCATCCTCAGTCATAGAGACAACGGGGGACACATGCCAATGCCCCTGCCGTACGCTGTGACTCTACACGGGCTTTTCCCTCAACAGAAGCAGTTTGGGGTTTGTATTTTCAATTTCTTGGATGGTTACTTGGATGTCCATTGCTGGCGACGGACTTCGTCATTCACACATGACTCCGAGGTTAAGGGAGCTGCACTGTTGTTTATTCTCTCCTGACCTGGACAAACTAACCGTAATAGTTTAATAGTAATGGTTAATTTTGAGATGTGTCATTTTTAAACAAAATAATCTTTAAAAGCAATATAGAATTGTGATTTATTAGTTAATTTTAAATTAAAATGTTGAGATCCTGTTAAAAGACAAAAAAAAATTTTTTTAAAGGAAAGCCAGTTGACTTCCCCAAACTGACAGTAGTATGCAGCAGAAGCCTTCATCATACAATGTCCATAATAGTGGACACAATATTACTCAGGCCCGGTTCTTTGAGTGGAATATGCATTTGAGTAGAGAGAAGCCACTTTAAC